AGATGTGAAAACTTCACTCTAATGTAAATAGGACTCTTCCTCAGTTTTTGTCTCATAAACATGTAACACATCAGTCTGTGTACCGGAGTGCATGAAATGAATCTTTGGGGTCATTTCATTCTCACTAAAAAAAAAGGAAACAGGGTTGGATCAGCAGATTAACTCCAAACAGGTTTGATTATTTTAAGGTGATCAATGTATGTAGACAATCACACATACATAAGTAGCTGCATAAAGGTGAGCCATGTAAATGAGGAGCGCTTTGTGGAGAACATCCCCAGTGGAAGGATTCAGAGGGAGCGACTGATCAGAGATCATATTGATCTGCTGGGAAATGATGATGGTTTATTAGCATTTAGATTAATCCAGACTGATCATCCTGGAGCTCCGAGCAGAACTTAAAGAAGGAGCCGTGTGGTACCGGAACCGGTCCAGCTGCAGTCATCCTTCAGTGGAGCCACTCGCTTTGTGTAAATGCGCCTTTATGGACGGAAAGGATCTCTATTCTGTAAATGTACAACTTCTGCAGATGATTCCACTATTGAGAATAAACGTCCACATTCCTACTCAAAGACTCTCTGACACGCTGTCTGTCTTTAAATCCTGGCTGGATGTGCTACTGTTCTAACAAGCATTTGCACGATCTCTTTATTTATTTTTAATTTGGATTCTTTTTTCTTTAAAATGTATTATTTTTTGTTAGGTGACCTTGTGCCCTGAAAGCACATTTCAAGTAAAATATAGAATTATTATTATTATAAATAATAATAATTGCAACAAACAAGGACGTTGCCATGGTTTCTGCTTCACGTGAGGGCAGACTTCCGGTTATTTATACTAATTTACATATGAATTTACGGGTGGCGACAGGCGGACCAGCAGCTGTGCTCAATTTCCCGAAAATTAGGATTTATAAAGGAAAGGAGCACAGCCACATGCATGCGCACAGCTTTATGCATTCGAATGTTTTTTGTGCACAGCACTTTTCTAAATTTGTACGTACGCCAAGTTTTAGTGTGAAAACTGCTCACTCTTTTATGAATGAGGCCCCAGAAGAACGAGGTGTGGTTGTAAAACAGTGTGTTTCTAGTGAAGTGCTCTGACCTGCTGGGGTAATGAATGACACTAAACAACAGAATAATACACCCTAAGTTAGATTTCATGTCAAGTCTTGACCTCTAAAAGAAAGCATCACAATTGGAGTAATAATAATGTCCTGGGACCATATACTCCTTTCATGTTGAGCTGTATTTAATATTGTTAATCCCCCAATCTAGTGGACTTGAACTTCCTCCTCTTTCTGCTCTTTGGTCCTGCTCTGCATCCATGAAGCCTCCTTTCCAGCTCCTCTGGGATTTGATATCATTGTTGAAGTATTATTTTAGTTTATTAGATGGTAATCAGCTCCTCCCAGTTATAAAAACAATACTTTGATGTCACAGTTACACATCATAGCAACTGTCCAAAAGTAAAAAAGTAAATACCAAAATTCTTCCAATTCCTAAGCATGTAAAACAAGAGGGAATAAATATCTCAACATGCAACGATACAACTAAAAAAAGGGAGGTGATACTCTTTACATCAATTCACCATGTTGTAATGAGTATAAACTATGTAGCATCTAGTATCACAGTACAGTCACAGAGGCTCATGAATATCCAAAACTCTTCCAATTGCCCTCTACAGAGGATCTTCTGGTCAACTGGCCATCTGGCCTGTTGACCAGAAGCCTGTAGTGACTGCCTTAGCAGTCACTACAGGCTTTGTTAGCTGCAGCATTGCAGATAGCTGCAGAACATACTGTCACAGATTGTCTCATAACATACTGTCACCAAATAGTGACAATTTCAATATATATGTAAAAAAAAAAAAAAAAAAGATTTTTTTCTAAAAGTTATATGCTGCAGCTTTAAATCAGCATGTATGACCTATTTGATTGTACTCGTTGAAGATGGTTTGTTTCTGTGTGTCTGGCTGTTAGTAACAGTCCATTACGAGCTCCTGCCGTGGGTCCTGGCCAGGCGGAGAGCTAGCAGCAGCGGCTGTTAGGATGTCCTGGAGCAGAGAGAGGGGAGAATTGTAGATGTGGTCGCTGCTTTGGGTCAAGATGCTCAGCTTCTCATCTAAATCCAGGACCCTCAACACCTCACACACACTAACACACTCTGGGTCAACACTGGCACATATGCCTTCCTTATCTGCCTCACTGCAAGCTTCAGAAACAACACAGGTGTCCTTCCCCATTTCCTGGATCTTTCTGACCTGCTGCATCACGCTGGCTCCAGCCAGTTGACAAAAAACTCTGGTGTCTGCTGTGTTATCCATCACAGGACAAACAATGCCTCGGAGCTTTAGCAGTAGCTGGCAGGCCTTCAGAGCAACGGGCCTGTCACAGTCAACCACACCACACAACAGAGCTGAGACCACTCCCCAATCGACCAAATTCTTCAAGCTGCTGAGCAAGTCTGACTGCTGACCTGCAATGGGAAGTCTGTGGTCTTGGTCAGACATCACAGCATAGGGATGAGACGGCGAAGGATCCGAAAAGGCTCGGTCCAGCACCAGTTCTGCCAACTCCAGGGTGTGAAGTTTGACCTCCCAGTCCAGATCAGCGACACCCTGAGAGAGGACAGTCGGCACAGACTGCATGAGGAGCCAGCACGAGGAAGGCGAGGAACAAGCTGAGAACCAGGCAATGAAGTACTTCACAGCAGCCCTCCTGGCAAATCCCTCCGAGTCCTGGAAGAGAACTTCCTGCAGCTGGGTTACTATGTCCTCCTGGAAGGAACAAAGAACTTCAGGTCATGAAAAATGTCACAGTGAGAATGTTGGGTGGGATTGGAAAATCTGCTGTTGTTTCTGCCAACCTGCTCCTGTGTTAATGCTGTCCCGTCCTGCCAGCTGGGTGTCAGTGTCTGTGCCAGAGCAGAGATGGAGCTGGCTCTCACATAGCTCTCTGGATCCTGCAGTGCCTCCTTGAGGAGAGGAACCGTAAAGCTGCAGCCGCCCAGGAGAACATCTGATGGTTCCATCTCCTGTTCAGTGAATGCCCAGCATGAGGGCGCCCCCACCAAGTGACCCAGAAACTCCACCGTGGAGTCTCTGGCCTCCCAGCGAGTGTCACAAGCTCGCTTTCTCACCGCCTGGATGAAACCTAGCAGCGAGGAGAGAGGAGATCCTATCTGTCTACACATGCTTCCTGTCACACAGGGCCAAATCCAAGAGCTGTACCTTCTCTGAGCTGGTCTGTGATGCAGGACAGATCTGGACAAACACGCACCCACTTTATCACAGCCTGGTAGGACTTCTGGAGCACCTGGCGCATAAACACAAAGATATTTCAAAGACAAAAAAAATAGGTCAAAACAGGCATTTCTTCTATTTTAGTTCTCAACTTTGAAAATGTTTTATGTTGTGATGCTTTTCAGAGAACTTTACTAGAGATAAAACCTGAGCAGTCATCATGATCTGGAATTATCCACTGGAAGGGAACTGGATAACCTTTAGCAATATCAGATCTGACTGGTGACCACATGGTCATAAACAGAACAATATGATTTACAGATGGGTCAGATTCAAAATATAGGTTTCAATTTGAAACCTGCTGCTGCGGAGGAAACCGAGTAAACAACATTTAATTTAGGGACGAGTAAACCAGCAAGAGGTACTGGGAGTTGAGTTTCCTCAGGGACTCTGTCACTGATCGGATCCAAACATCACTAAGATAAAAACAAAAACAGATCCAACTCGAGCCTCGCAGAACACCATAACTATCTTCAATATGCAGAGAGGAGCAAAGATGGGTGGTGCAAGCTAATTCTAAAATAATCAAATGTTCTTCTAGGAATCATTTTGTGGATAACAAAATGATTATCCACTTGTTCCTTTTTAAACCAAGGAACAAGGTATAAAAATGAATCGACAGGTAGAATCCAGCATAATTACATGTAAATATTCAATTATGTGTCAGTACTATAACAAATTAAACTTAAAATCCTTTAAGTATTTTCTGAAATGCAGGGGCACCGCTAGGAATCTTGGGCCCCATGACAAAAAATTAAATTGGGGCCCTCTGTGCAGCTGCTGTTACAGTTTCTTGAGTCTATCTGACCCATGAAAAGCGTCACAAAGAAAGCAACTACCTTGCTTTCTTTGGTCCAATACTGATACTAGCACAATATTTATTGCTCGAGAATTTTACATGCAACAGTCCACATACAGTATGCAAATAATTTAATTAAATTTTTTATTATTATTAGCTTTAGCTTACTGAAATGTCTCTCCACCAGCAACAGTCAAGGGCAATATGCAAAATACACATGAAGCAATCCAGACTCCTCAAAAATTCTATGAAGTTGCATTTTGTTCAAGCTGCAGCATATAACTTTAATAAAAAAAATGTGTTTTTTTTCCATATTTGTTCAAGTTGTCACCATGTTGTGACAGTTTGTCATGAGAAAGATAATCTGTAAAAAGATCAATCTTCTCCACCTGCTCCCTGAACTACTATTGTTAGTTAAAGTAATGCAATGTTCTGGCCAAAAACAACCAATCAGAACCAGAAGGAGGGTCTTAGTGCTGTCAGTCTACCTCATTCACTCACTGCTAAATGTGCTAATGGTGGAGAAACAACTTATTGTTACAGGAAAATTGTTTATCTGCCATCATTGGTAGCTATGCTAACTAAACTGAGCATTCACAACAGGCTGTGCTAGCTGCAGCATAGCACAGAGAAAGGGGGAGGAACGATGAGCAGCCACATGAGATTGCGATTTACAGCGCTAAAACCCGCCTCCTGCCTCTGATTGGTTGTTTCTAGATAGCACTGGGAGAAGGCAGAGGAAATTATTTTTTTCACAGATTATCTCTCATGTCATACTGTCATATCATAATGACAGTTTTAACAAATATGTACATTTTTAAAAAAATAAAAGTTAGATACTGCAGCTTTAATTTCACTTAGGAGAGGATGGGGTGTGAGTTAGAGCTGCTGCTGACTGACTCATCTGTTAAGTGTGATAAAAGGCACAGGTAATTGAATGGTAATTGGTATTGGTATTTTTTTTTCTTTTGTTCATTAGATGTTAGTGAAATGGAGGCAAATAGTAGTCTGTAGCTAGGCTAACTGTGCTAAATGGTTGATAATCTCACATAGTGTACCCACCTCTCTTTTTGTAACAGGAAAAAAACTGTTACAAACTGACACTCTTGTCTTTTTCTCTCTCTATTTATCTATTTTTTTAAACCTGACTTTATTATTTTTCTTGGCAGCATAGTAACTACCACAGTCATTCTTGTCTTCTACCAACTGCTGCTGAACACAGTCACCTTAAAGCAACGAACCATTTCATGCAGATCCAGGGGGGTTCAGGGCAAATATGAATGTGTGCTCTTTGGTCTGGGAGGGGTAACATTTAATCTTTACAGCTAAAAACAATTTTAGAAGACACAATATGATTAATTTTGTAATTGACAGGGCCCCAATTTTTAAAAATTTCTGTGAGTCCTTGCTGAAATGTGACTAGTGTCAAATGTACACAAACTTACAGATGGGTCAGATGAATGACTATTTAAATATTCAGTCAGAACTTTGAAGACCTCAACCAGAACCATCTTCACTCCTGAGAATAAACAAAAACAGGAAGAATATAAGATAAACCTACTGAACTCAGTCAGCTTTTGTTATGCATGAAGTACCAGAAAATTTTAAAATATCACACAAAGTGCTTCAAAGAGCTTACAAAGGAACAAAACAACTAAACAACCACAGCAGAAAATATAAAATTAGATATTTTAAATGTAAATAACTCCAAATTAAGCTCCTTATTTGTTGTACCCCCTTTTTAGCACTTATCTTTACTTCGTTTTATTTGTATGATATATGGTTGACTTCCGGTTTTTGATTTTATGCCTTTATTTTGATAAGACAACTTCTGTTTTTTAAATTATAGAACAGCAGCTAAACAACAGAAAGAACAGAAGACAAGTTGCAACAATGTTGTTAAAATGTATTATTAGCAGCCACATTGATAGAGGCACAAGGTATGTTTATTTTATAAATAAGGATATTTCTGTTATGAGAGGTCCAACAGGCCAAAACTTTCAAACTCTCTCACATGTACTATCAAAGTCTTTCACTGTCATTTCCGAAGCCGCCTCTTCAGAAGTGACAGTAGAGCCAGCCTGCACTTGAGTTGATGTGCACAACGGCACAAGTTACGGCGCACTCCTTTACAAGCTCCTTTCAAAAATAAAGCTCACCTCAAGTTTATGTTTGATTCACACTTTAAGCTTCTTTCCAGCAGCTGTAAAAGTTACCAGTGACTTCTCTCTCTTTAGGGTGACACTGGGACACCTCTAGAAGACAGCCAGTAATTGCCATCCACCTCTAAAGTGTCATTTCAAATAAAAAGCCCATCAAAAGAAGAAATCTGTAATTGTTTTATTGTTATGTTTTTTCCCTATATGTTAACTTTGTGTTTTTCTTCAGCTAAATAATTAGTGGAATTTGATCTGAACTTCAGATTTGATAACCAAGAAAGAATGAGAGAGTCATTTTTCTTTTAGAAAATTTTAGAGGCAACAAAGCTGAATTTGTAAATTTGGCTTCACCCCGGAAATAGCTAAAAGGCCACTCCACTTGATTTCACACTATCCTGAGCATCTTTAATTTGCTGTACTTTAAAAACCGCAACCACAGACATTTCAAATTTGAACTAGATTATTCTAAACTAGCAGAATATATGTAAACAAATGGGTGATTTGTGAAACCTTTCTTTGATTTATTACACTTCATGGAAGGACCATATTAGTACTATTTATCTCTGGAACACATTAAAAACACTCCAGTTCCAAAGCTACTACAACTCAACAAAACAAACATGGGTTTGATTCTTAAGTACTAATAGCTGAATAATTAAAACAGTTTGAGATTTGGGAAAACTTAATCTGATTTATGAAACTTCAATAACTGGCCAAATTAGTTATTTTTGTTTCTTCTTCCGGACTGCAAGTCTAACATCATCAAATCTGGATGTCATTTGGTGGGTGTCTTCTAGAGCTGTCCCAGTGTCACCTTGAAGTGAGAGTAGTCACTGGTAGCGAATTATTTATGGAATCAGAAAGATTTTTTTGCCTGTCAAATGTCACCAATTTTGATTGAGGTTGCACATTTGTGGTTTACAGGATTTTTTCCCCGCACAATTTATTTTAATTTATTTTCAGATACATAATTTCCTTTTGCAAATGAATTACAACAAAGCTTTAAATTTTTACAGCCTCTTGAAATAAACTTAAAGTGTGAACCAAACACTAACTGGCGGTGCGCTTTAATTTTGAGAGGAGCTTGTAAGTTTTGGCCCATAGGCCTCTCATATTTTATTATTTATTGGTTGAAATTGTAAATTTGTTTTATTGTATATGAATACTGGTATAGTTTTTGAATAAGAGTTGATATTTTAGTAGTGAATGTTTGTTTTTGGTTCAAACGCTACGGTTGTAAAGGTGTGTTTTGGTAGCTTACGCTGTCTTACATACAACTCTTATTGTGAAATTCAGGGTTTACTTCCAATAAACCTCACTGTTCATCAGTAAAGCCACAATCCTTCATTTGGGGGGTCTGCTACATGAAATAATAATTAAATAACTAGAATTAAATGTCATATGAAATGTAAAAATGAACAACACAGATGTAAAAATAAAAAGTACAGGTAAAAATATTACATTTTAAAAATACAAATGAATTTATTTTAACTGAAAGTGAAATTAAGATAAGCTATAAAGCAATATAAAAATAAACAAACATATAAATTATTTAAAATAAAATGCCTGCATTTTAAATTGTGGGCTTAGTTGCCATTATTTATCTAAACAGATAAATAGTAATGTGGAGAAAAATTAAAAAATACAATAGCGACAGACAAAATAAAACTTACAAAATTGTTCAGCATATAATAAAATGTAAAAATATGAATTAAAAATACAGGTTTTAATTTGATTTAAGGTGAAAGTATTATGTAAGATTTAACTTTACATCATAACATTATTCCCTTTTCAAAATTATACCTAGAGTGTTGCATTGATTCTTTCATATTTAAGAAATCCTTTAATCTCCATGGCAACCATTTAGCTGTGCAAAACTCCTGGCCTTCAAGGCACAGGTCTGAGGCTGCGGTAGCTTCTGTGAGGCAGAAGCTCGGTAGCTTCTGCCTCACAGAGATCCCCTCCCTGATGCCACTCCCCCCTCCCCCCCCTTCACTCAGCTCCTTCAGACTAACCAGAAGCAATTAGCAAACACCTGTTGGAACTACACATCAGTTGAGCTCATAGGAACTACTTCTCAGTGAAAAGCTGAGAAGTTTCTGAAAACATTGTTAAAGGCCTAATTGAGGAGCCATGTTGTGATGACTTCCTGAAGGTGGAGTTTCAGAAAGAGCAGGAGTTTTTAAAGAGACAGAGGCTCAATTTCAAGGTGTTACAAAGTCAAATTTCTTTTAAGTCATATTGTAGATTTATTGCATTTTTAATAATGGCACAATGTGTCTAGAAAATACATAATACTGCCCCTTTAAGCTTGGTAAAACCTGCCTGTTGCTGCTTTTCCTGTCAGATCACCCACCAGCTTGAACACAGAGTGACAGAGAAGAGATGTTGGATGTTTTGCTGTGTTTGGAAAAGTCAGAGTTTTACCTGGACTCTTGCTGAGCACTAACAGAGCCTCCAGGGCACATTTCTGAACTTTGCTGTTTCCTGTAATAAATCTGACAACTTCAACACAGCCAGCCGATGAAGATGAGGAGTCCACACAGCACAGCCTCAGTAACAACAAAACTGCAGTAACAATTAGCCTCTGAGGACAGGGGAGGCAGTCCGAAGCCTGGGGGGGAATAGATCCAAGTATGACAGTTTCAACATGGAATAAAGATAACTGATGCTCCTTTTATCTGCTGATTTTACTCACCATTAGTGTGATCTGAGGTATGTTTGATAGACATACACAAATCATGGAGATGCAGCTTTTCCTCTTAAGCTGCTCAGTTATTAAAATTCGAAGCTCTTCTTCTGCAGGATTCGACAACATGCTCTTAAAGGGAGTTAATAAACATTTATTACACATGTAAAAACACACCAATGTCGTTTGTTCACCTGTGGAGTTCTCATCCAGTAAGGAGACACCAGTAACGATGTCCAGGGGTAGCAGCAGGACTCGAGCAGAGTGGGCGGAGAGGGCGGGGTCACTGAACATAGAGGTAGATGGACCAGATAGCAGGTTCTGCTTTAACAGGAAAATCAAAGGTTTTCTAGCTTACTGCTACACTCACCTCTGGTGGCTGCGTAGCACAGCAGCTGCAGCCTGCATAACATCAACAGGCTTCTTCATGTTCAACATGACCCACAAAAGTCGGATGAGTCGCTGCTTTGGGACACAATCGTCCCTGAGTCCACTGTGCAAATAAACATAATCCATTCATTAAAATTTAACAGTGAAGGACATTAGTTTCAATAATCTATTTCTTCTTTATGAATCCTGCAAAATCTGTGCTTAAAACAAAATTATTCATTTTTAAGCACTTTAAAGTTTAATGTGGAGATGTTAACACACATTTATAGTCAAAATTAAGAGTCTGATGTTTTTTGCGTAAGCTTGAGTGTGGAAAGAAACTGGTCCAGCTTCATTCATTCCAATTACTTTTTTAAGAAAGTTTTGTTTTAGTTTAAAAAATGTTTTAATATTCTACAGTGACAAGTGACATTAGATATAGTTATCTTGCAATCCATGTATACAATATTTAAATACACTAACGGGTGACTCCCACTTCCCTCCAGGAGGTTCTACAGCCTATTTGAGGTCTTTCAAGTTTTTTTTTCTTTGGACTATTCCTGTTTGCTGCTTTTTCTCGCACCACCTAAATCTAACTAATCTTATTTAAATTCCTTAAAACAAATTTCAAGGTCTTCACTCTCTAAAACTTGAAAATGAAAAACTATGTTCCCCCAGAGTGCTGCAGAAAGCCCATAGCATGCCTTTGTTACTTCAAAGCTGGACTATAGTAGGACTACACATTATGTCTCTAAAATATATTCATCTTAACAGCCCAGACAGTATGCATTTCGCAAAGAACTGCTTTGACTGCAATAAATGTTAGCTTATCCACTCAGCCTCACTATGCCCACAACATATTTGATTGCAGCATAGAAAGTTTTAAAAGGCAAATGAAGGATCTGATGAAAATTACAGAGAGATCATATTTCTCCAATATTAGCTTCCCATCCCTGATGTGATTGATCCATATGGTCCTTACAGAGCACTTCACTCTCAGACTGCTGGTTTACTGCTGCTTCTTAGAGGTTCTAGCACAGGAGTGGGCAACTCCAGGCCTGGAGGGCCGGTCTCCTGCAACTTTTAGATGTGTCTCTACTTCAACACACCTGAGTCAAATAATGAGGTCATTAGCAGGACTCTGGAGAACCTGACTGCACTGAGGAGGAGATTCAACTATTGGATTCAAGTGTGTTGGACCAGGGAGACATCTAAGAGTTGCAGGACACCTGACCTCGAGGACCAGGATTGCCCACCCTTTTTCTAGCAGTAGAATGAGAGGAAGACCTTTTAGTTCTCAGGCTTCTCTCCTCTGGAGGCAGATTCCAGTTTTAGTCTGTAAGACAGACTCCCTGAAAACTTTTAAGACTAGGCTTAAAACTTTCCTTTTTGATAAATCTTAGTCTAGTTAGACTGGCTTCAGTTACCCTGAGCTATCTATATTTATGCTTCTATAAGCAGTGGTGCCTAAAGTGGGTCCTCGAGGGCCAACATTCTGCATGTTTTAGTTCACTCCCTGCTTTAACACACCTGGATCAAATGATGTCTCATTAAAGGCTTAAGGAGAACATTGACTTGCTGAGGAGGCTGTTACTACCACCAGGGAGAGACTAAAACATGCAGGATGCCGGCCCTCCAGGACCCACTTTAGGCACCCCTGTTCTATAGGCTTAACTTTTTAAGGCTTTTTGATACTTAATAATTTTATCATTATTGTTTCACTGTTTTAGTGATACTTTGTTTGTCAGTTTTATTTTATTTAGCTTACTAGAGAAGAGGTATAAAGAAATTAGGGGAAGATTGAAACTTTTGCACAAGAGGTTGACAGGCATGAGATTTCTTGATGTATATATATATTCATTTTTATATTTACCCAGAAAATCATTTTCCTTTTTGTTTTGGTCTGGTATCAGAATTTAGGCAATTGTTTTAGCTAGATGAAATACATGTGCTTCAGTGAACTGTGGTTACTGACTACCAATGATCTCAGTAATGCACAGCATAAAGCTTGCCATTATCTTATAGCAGGGGTTTCCAAAGTGGGTCCTGGAGGGCCGGCATCCTGCATGTTTTAGTTCTCTCCCTGGTTTAACGAACCTGCATCAAATGATGACTCGTTATAAGGTCTAAGGAGAACATTGACTTGCTCAGGAGGTTGTTACTACCACTAGGGAGAGAACTAAAACATGCAGGATGTCGGCCCTGCAGGACCCACTTTGGGCACCCCTGGCTTATAAGATACACTAGCAAGTTAGCTACTGGGCTAAAACAGATCTAATGTAGATCTAATGCTGGTGCTTTAATGCTAGACCAGAGACTGCTAGCTGCATTTAACAGCAGTTTAAGACCTGATTAAATGATCTCACCTGTTTGCAGCCAGGATGACATCCAAGAGAGGAACTGTGAGCTGACTGCAGCTTGTTGTCACCAGTTCCTCCAGAGAGTTTATGACAGCCAGCAACAGTGTGTCTCTCAGAGGAGGCCCGACCCGGACCAGGAGCAAGGCCAGCAGCCTGAGGATCTGCTGGCTTCCAGGAAGCTGTGAAATTTCCTTCAGAACCACTGACTTGTTCAGATAATCAGAGACCTTTGTGATTATACCACTGTAATTCTGGGTGGTTTCCATACTCGCACTGTTGTGTTCTAAGTCTCTATTTTTTGAACCATTATGACCCACAGAGGATGGAGACTGACAGAGAAGCAGGACCTGAGCGAGTGTCTGATTGGCAGCTGAAGCAACAAAAAGGCTTGAGTCTGTCTGAAGTTGAAGGAGTGGTTCAATAAGATCTGCAGACAATAAAGCAACACCGCCAGTCTTTTGTAAAACTCTTGTTAAGCAAAGTGAACAAAAGAAGGTCATATGTCCTATGTGATGGATTACCTGCTTGCGCAAAAAAACTGAGAGCTTCTGAGTGCTTCAGAATCATCTTTAGACCCTGGATCCAGCCAATCCGCAGACACGGATCCTCCCAAAGTCCTGCCTCTTGCCAGTGTTGAGGATTAAAGACCAGTTTCAACACAGAGCACTCCTGCACATTAGAGAGTGTGATGGAGGGATGAGAGAATCGAATACCAGGTTGGGGGCTGTTTGGCTTTAGTTGTACCTTCAGAACTTTAAAGCCATCTTCAGAAGCACCAATCAAGCCAGTCAGCTTCAGAGTGAAAGAAAGGATGCTGGAGCCTGAAGTGTAGTTAAAGGCCACCTTGGAGACGAAATCAACCAGACATGGACATGCCTCCAACAGAGATGTGCCTTAACGAAGTGAAAAACACAGACAAATTGAAATTGAACAGAAAACCTCTTTTATGACACTACAACCAAATACATAAATATTTTTTTTTGTTGAATTTTATGTGGTCGATCAGCACATTCCCTGCCCCGACTCCCCTCTTTTATTTTTACTGCAAAAAAAAAAACACAAACAGAATTGCAAAATTCTGAAGGGACTGTTCAATGTAAAAGAAGTTCAATATTATTTTATCTTAACAAGTATTTATTGAATGCAGTGATTGTTATCAATATTTTAATGGTTTGTTAATGGATTTGATCAATTCAAAGAGAATATTCATGATCTTGATGTGGCCCAAAATGAAAATGAATTTGAGACCTATGATTCTGCCCTGCATGTTTGGGATTAAATCGTTTAGCTGGAAGTGTGGAAGGCACGTTAATCTCAATACCTCTCTGTCTCATACTAGGTCTTGCCAACTGCAAACTGTGTTTTTTAATGGCTTTTTTCAACCTTCACTCTTTATATAGACTAGTTTTTCTCCTGAAAGATTCTCCCTGCCCAGCTGTGGATTTCTGTATGTATATATTGATGGACTCCATTTTCTAATCAGGTAATTTTTTAAGTCATTTTAATTAAGGACATAAAAGTAAAGGGAGCTAGATACAAAATACCACACTTTTCAGATTTATTTTTATTACTACGATAAAAAAAGAAGTTCAAGGGGTACAGATAGTCCTGGAACTGAATGACAACTTCAATTCTATTATGACATTTTTTTGATATAGATAGGTCTAAGCTAGGAGAATGTTGGTCTTACTGACCAGTCTGCGCGATAGTTGTAAACCAGTCCAGTAGTTTCTCCAGACTGGTATCATCGGGGAGAGAGCTTCCTGACACCAACAGAACTCCACAGACGCGGGGCAGGATGGAGACACACTGGCTGTCCATGTCTCTAGCACGTTATAAAATCTATTAATACAGACATTCGGTTTAACTCCAAGAGCTACAGATAGCTAAAATACGTCTTCGTTTGATATGTTTAATTCAGTCTAAGCTCGACTTTTTCTCGCGGGAACTGAACTCGCATTGACAAAAAAAAGTGAGACATTTTCTAGATCTATAAGTAGTTCGATGGGTTAAACAGTCAAAGTATGAGGCTGTCTACCCATCATTTTAATTTACAGATCTGGGTTTTCTTCCCACGCGCCTCCGAGCCGCTTCCGGCGCTCCGTTTCCGCCTCTTCGTCCATTTTCGCACATGGTGCCACACCGGCCGAGCATAGTTAGCCTCACGTTTTCCGTTCCCTCTTTGACAGACATTTGATCTCTTGCCCTGGTAAATGCAAGATACGTTGGCTATGGTAGACGACCCTGAGTACGAGGAGGAGGAGCCCTCCTTCAGCGACCCGGAGGACTTCGAGGACGACATCGAGGATGAGGGTGAGCGGCGGCAGGAAATACGCCGGCTTTCTGGCCTGTTGCTAATTGTTAGCTGAGAGATCAACTGTGTTGGTACCAAAATTTTCAGACACCTGACTATATCTCATTTTATTTACTGGAACTTAATGGTTATATTTTTACCATAATGTTCAGTCTTGATTGAACTGAAACGTCATTCTCTTTGAGGACCCCCTCCCTTAAACGACCGTTTTAGCCTCACGCAGACCCCACACAGCCCCTCGCTCTGAAGTTGTAGTTGTCTTTTAAAAAAAACAAACATTATACGTTATATTTGTAAGTCTTAATAAATATTTGATGGCGAATCAAGGCCAGAAATAAAAACTGTAACTTTCGTTTCATATGATGAAACTTTTCGTTTCATCTGGTATTGAAACATCTGGTGACACTTCAGATTGCAACCCAGGCGTTTGTTCTGCATGTAAAATGTGCTCTGACCTATTTTGTTAAAACTGAAGTGTGTAGAAACAGCCGGTTACGCAGTACATGAAATATGCATACTTAATTTTAATCATTATAAACTCGGTTGTTCTCCATCTAGTTACACCTTAGACATCTTTGTGTTTGGCTGTAACTGTTATTACAGAAGAAAAGCCTTCAATATCATCAAGCTGTTGAATCATTAAATCTCTTAAATAGAGCTTTAGTAAAAGAGTCTCACTTGGACTTGGGGCAATGGTATCTATGCATTAAGAGTGTGTTTAGTTTAAGTGTGTTTATTGAATGGACATGTAATAAATTATTGTGACTGAAAATAAAATTGGGTAAGAATAATTTTCTTCCATTCATCCATTTTCTTACACCCTTGAACGTTCGGGCAAGAGGCGGAGTTCGCCCTGGACAGGTTGCCAGTCCATTGCAGGAATCATTTTCTTATATATAAAAATTTTTCTATTGTATTTTTGCCACAGATTCAGTGTTTAAGGATTTTCTGGCAGAAACTAAATATGCTGCAGGTCCTTGTGATGATGTAGGGAAGTATAAGATTATTATATTGTAAATCAAGGATCAAATAATGTTTTCCCAGCATTTACCTGAGTTTCATTTGTGTATGAAAATACATGCTGTTGGTTGATGCATGTCTCGACTAAAATCTAGTTTTGGTGTATTAAAAAAAAGATATTTATGCTTGACGTATGGACGATTGATCAATGTTAAACAACGAAAAAAATTGCCAGTTGACTTGTGAATCCTTAAAATTTCACCTTAGTTATGAACTTATAAAGTAAACTTAGCTTTATGTGGTTTACTTGATTAAATTTCAATCCAGCCTTTCCATGTGTCTAGGTCTTTTTATACCCAAGTTTTGAGTATGAAAATGAGCTCCCTGCCACCAGAATCGACAATTTAAGATGATTTAAAGAAGTTTTCCATAAAGTAATTAACTAGCTTAAATAAATGATATCTGCCAGCAGGAGGTTGCTCATACTTATTTTGGATTTATTTGCACTCATGATTTCTATGTCATAGTCAGAAGGCCCAAACAGAAATCAGAACTGCAATTCAAAGAAATTGGATTATGAGATCTTCTGAATTGTAATATACTGTCAAACTAAAACAAGAGTTTATCATTTCTTTGATTGCTTCTTTAATAAATGCTCAATATCCCAGGTAGTAAAATAACATGTGACTGTTGAGTACTCGGAAATGGAAGTATGTTGGTATGAAATGGGAATGAGGAAGCTGGAGGTGAAGATTGATGATGGTCCAAACTGCGACGGATCAAGGTTTAAATTCATACAGCAGAGATGTGACTGATGTCAGTGGAAGGTTAAAAACAAACTTAAGTGAACCTCATACCTCATTGATATATAGCACAAATAAAATTATAAGTACCTTAAAGTGTTGGTTTGACCCAATTAGCTTTTGGGAGTAATATAGTTTTAAACAACATTGTAGATATATTTATTAAAGCTATGCATATTTAAATGGTAGCTGTCAAAAACTCCATAAAGATCTTCATGTTTGTTTAGTGGAATAAATGAAAAGTCAGCAGGATGTGAAGCAGCAGGCTGAAGTAGTGCAGATGTTTTCTGCCTGAACAGAAAAGTCACTCCTGCTTCTCTGTCTTTCTCGCTCTCCAATTATTCTTATTCTTATTATGTCGTGTCAATCTGTCAGAACTTCTGGAGGACATCTTACGGGAGAAACCCCAGGAGGCTGACGGGATCGACTCAGTGGTAGTGGTGGACAACGTCCCGCAGGTGGGCCCGGAGCGGCTGGAAAAACTCAAGAATGTCATACACAAAATCTTCTCCAAGTTCGGCAAGATCACAACTGAGTTTTATCCAGAAGCCGACGGCATGACCAAAGGGTAAGACCCTATGAGCTTCCTGCTCTGCCTGATTTGTTGCTTTTCGCGCCAGTTGAAGACATCAAACGCTCTCTTGCTCTTTGTAGATACATCTTTCTGGAGTATGCTGCCCCCACTCAGGCTGTGGAGGCGGTGAAGAATGCAGATGGCTACAAACTGGACAAACAGCATACATTCAGAGTTAACCTCTTCACTGACTTTGACAAGTATGTGACATATCAGAGTGGCAGGTAGACATCTATCATTATAACGTTAATTAAAAGCCCATTCTTTTTTTTACTCTTGGTTTCAGGTACATGAACATCAGTGATGAGTGGGAAGCTCCAGAGAAACAGCCCTTTAAGGATTTTGTGAGTTTTACTCAATCATCTCTCGATCTCAGTTTATTTGGAAATGAATTTGGTTACCTCTGGTTTCCTGTTCAGGGTAATATGCGTCACTGGATTGAGGACTCGGACTGCCGTGACCAGTACAGTGTCATCTATGAAGCTGGAGAGAGGACAGCCATCTTCTCAAATGATGCGAAAGATCCCATCTTGGCTGAGGAGCGAGCGGTGAGTTACCTGACAGCTTCATGTAAGGTAGAGCTTATCAGGATATGGAACATGCAGAAGGGTTAACTGTTTGTGTTTGGATGCAGCGCTGGACAGAGACATACGTTCGCTGGTCTCCCAAAGGCACCTACCTGGCAACCTTCCACCAGCGAGGCATTGCATTGTGGGGTGGAGAGAAGTTCAAGCAGATCCAGAGGTTCAGCCATCAGGGCGTATCTCTCATTGACTTCTCACCATGTGAGAGGTAACTATGCATGTTCAGAGGTCAGACTTGATGCTCGACTTGGCAGCTCATTGTCTTGTTACATTCACATTTAATTGATGATTTCTAAATTCACATCAGGTTTTAACTAGGGCTGTTGTAAACGAATATTTTAGTAATCGAGTAATCTGTTGATTATTCTTACGATTAATCGAGTAAT